CGTTTCCGTTGTGATCTATTTCATCCAAATAAGATTTATTGAGGCACAGTTAGTTGATACTGCCCCTCTTTTTAGTGTGCGTTGATTCAGTTGTAAATGCACGTTTATGCAATCATGTCAAGCAAAGAAGCAAGTTGACCTGAGTCCTTAAAATAAGGTGATGGATAAATGAGCTGCGTAGTTGCCTTTATTATGCGGTGAGATCAAGTTAGATGACGAAATTTGATAATTAATCAGGAAAGAGAACTTCTTTAAACGGAATGTGAATGTGAACAATGGCGGGGGTGGACGGGAAAAGAGAGAAAAAACATTGAACAACTTGATGTGCACATTATCCAAATTTTATTCACATGCGGGGGGTTTGGAGTAATGAATAACCACGACCTCTAGAAAACTCGAATTCTATGATTATTGAGCTTAGGTCCAGTCAAGTCAAGAGTGCACTTTATTCATCCAATGTGGACAGAATTTTCAGTGAAAAGAATTTTATCACTTTTGCTTTGGGATACAAGCTATTGAAAATGAGTTTAAAGATAAGACAAATTGTTACTTCGACGTTATTGAAGAGGACACGAAGAACGCGTAGCAAATGAAGAAGATTTCAGCATGAAAATTTACATTAGACTGTGTATAAGTTCGTTTGATATTCGTTCCCTAGAAACCAACAAATGTGAAAGGTAAGTTACAACGGAATTGTGAAAAGCTGTGGTACGAGTATATAAAGGTTTAAATTTATTGCGATGACAGAAGTTGAAATGGAGCGAGATAGGATTGAATGTAAAGGATGTGATGCATCGAACAAGATAGAGTCACACAGACGGTCACATGCCTTAAGGTGTTGGTTGACAATGGAATCAACCAGCTCCTCATAAGATACGGCTCCATATCTAGAGATGGTTTTCAGGGAGCGTCTACTTAATATGAAATCCTTAGACAGTAGACCGGGACGGATAACGGGAGAGCAGTAGGTCCAATGGCATAAAAAGCACAAGAAAATGAAGTTTACAATGGTGTACAGTGGCACTCTCAGATGCTGAAGGCGTGAAATATAAAAGGTCAATTTTTTTACGGTAGCAAGCCTAGATTCGATTGTTAAGAGACACCAGGCACCAGGTCAAATTTCTGACTTTAAGAAATGTTTGTTCCACGTGATAGGACCATTTGAGGTCAGCAGACAGGAAACATTCAAGATATTTGAAGTGTTGTGGCCTTTCAACTTTTAAGTTATTGACTATGATGTTGGTACCAGATGATGCAGAATGTGTTGATGGCCTACGGTTAATGGATAACAAAACTTCAATGCATTTATTGATGTTTAAAGAAAGGTTAACACCATCGGATTATTCAGAAATGAAACTCATGACTGATTGAAGGAGGTTCGTTGAAGGGTTTTTGTTGTGAGCTGCACCACCAGCTACTAGGTCATCGGCATGTTTAAGTGTGAAAACATTTGGGGTGACTGGCAAATTTTGGATGTAAAAGGAGAACAGAAAAGGGGATAAGATTGCACCCTTCATTACACCCTGGTCTATAGTAACAGCGGAGGATCTAATAACATTGAGAAAAGTGAATTGACGTCGTTCGGTAAAGTAGTCGTGCATCCAAATCAAAAGATGTGGCGGGAGATTATGTTGCCGTAACAGTGACAATAGGATACTTCTGTCGACAGAGTTAAACGCGTTTATGTAGTCCAAAAAACGAACATGAACAATTTCGTGTTTTTGGTTTATGGTGGATAAAACAGAATGTATAAGACAATCAATCGTATCTACAGTAGAGCGACGCTTACAATAAGCAAACTGATTGGAATCACGAAAATCAAGATTAGAGGATAGATGCTTAATAATAATTCGCCCAAAGTCATAAGCAATACTGAAGATGAGAAACCAGGCCAAAACTTATCCTTTTCTTTCTTAAGTAATGGAGTGATGCGAACATCACGCCATGTGTTAACTAGTCTTCGTTCTGACAGACACGTATTACAAATAAAAGGAAACGGTTTGTGCGAAGTGGTTTGCGCATGTTTTTAAGACTGCGGATAACCCATCAGTACTAGAGGATTTATTTCTGTTGATAGTATTCAACTCCTTTAAAACTTGCTCTGTTGTGACAGTCACAAGAAGGTGGGAATCAACTGACGTTGTATTTGGACTCGGCAAAGCCGGCCCAACATTTTTCACTGAAGTCAAAAGTTTTGTTGATCTCATTGATGCCACATGAGTTTATAGTAAGCAAAGTTGAACAACCACAGAGCAAATTCAGTCCGTTCCATAATTATCTGAAACGTTTTTGGTGCGTCAATTCGTTGCCCGGAGTCCGCCAAATGTGAAGCAGCTGCACTTGACGACAACTTTTCCCCGTGATCACCAAGGTTTTTAAAGACGTCATTCTGTCTTTCTTAAGTACCTCTTCTTTGAAAGGAAGGCAAACTAAGGTACCTTTCTTCAATGTAATGTACAAGATAAATCTGGGGTTGACCGAAATGCTGTACTTTTGAATGAAATTAAGGGGAAAGCTGTTGCCCAGAAAAACATGAGTTGATCATTCATTTCAGCTGGTACGACATAAAGCAATCTAGCTGGTGTTAGTGACACATATTCTAATGTGTCTTCTATGGGAATCCACAAACGGCAGGGTTTGCCTGTTGTGCTCGTGTATGAATCTCAATCCCTGGGGAATTCATGGATTATCCATATGCTATTGCATTTTATCTGTGCTAAGGTTTTGTGTGACGAACGACAAGCAGAACACGGGATAACTACTTCGTTCTTGCTAGGGCTCATCACCAGTGCGTGTGAAACAAAAATAAGATGCCTATTCGGGGTCTTATGCATTACTTTTTGTTGTTCAACGCGTGATGTCTAGTCATTTGGTTCGGTTAAACCTTTGCTGTTCTCTTAAAACAATACTATGTACATAAACATGGAATTTCCTTCGTGAAATCGGGCAAGCTCAGCTTGAAACTTATCCGGGGTTAGTTGTCAAGTGCATGCATTTGGCTATGGATAGACGGCAAATACCGGGGAAGCTATTCTTGTGACAGCAGACCAGAAGGATCAAACATATTACGCTCTGCTACTGCTTTTTCAGAGGAAAGATAAACGAACTGTCCCGCATTAATTCTCATCCCTCACTAGCAAAACTTCGTCGCCCTTTCCTGGATTACTACTAATAAATAGTGGATCCAAACGCCAATTATGGCACGAAAGATATGTACTATTATTGCCCTTCCCTCTAACTGGACTAATTGATATCCCATCTTCGTACCTGCATGTTACTCAGGTGAATTTTAATATTAGACTGTTTACTTACATATAACGGTTTTCATCTGTTGAGCGTAAAACACCATTGACATATATAATTATATGGATTCCAATGAATGCATTGTGCTTACAGGAATTATCACTGGGAATTTTATCCCTAGCCTAATATTTGATGATCGCAGTGGTGGTTGTAGTCTTCTTCCCTGACGTGACCGATTCCTTAGGATCAAGATTCGAACCCTGTCAACGATACCCCACATCGCTTGTAGGTAGCGTCCTTGTAGTCTGGATCGGAATTACGCCGCTAAAATTACGGTTGCATTTAGGTCACCGGTTACCACATGATAAGCCCTACCGGTATTTTCCTGAACTGAAACCCAATATGCTCGAAGAAAGCGTGAATTAACTAGTGGAACATACTGCATCCGCCAACCTAATGATGATTCGGAGAGTATAACTGAAATAATTTATCGATCAACCAGAAATCAAACAAATTAATTTCAAGGGGAATATTTGTCTTGAACTCAAAAGCTCGGAAGCACCGGACAGCTGTTTCGACCTGGTCGGGTCTCATCAGCAGTGCGAATCCATCGACTCAACTGAGAATAGCGGATCCGAGACCTCACACATGGAATACTTCCTAATCGACCATTAGGCAACGGATCAGATCGTCTTTGATTTTGTCAATATGCATCACATATTACAACCAACATATGCGAGCTTGCTGTGGGCGTCCCGCCCCGCTCATCTTAGCAATAACTTCCATGTTTATGACTCTGTTGGAAACATTCGGAAAAATGAAGTACTAAGAGGTTCAGATTTTCATCTTTTTTCACTCCGTTTAATAGTGTTACTGGGTTTAGTCTATAGACGAGAAAGATATAGTTTCCCAAAGTTCTAGAAGTCCCTCTTATCTCTCTTCCGGACAGCAACCCTGGTTATCTCAAGGAAGACGAAACGGAATGATACGGATTTTAGAAAATCCGTTTTTAATGTGTGTGCTCACAATACAAGCTGAGTTTTATGCTTGTAAAATGTGCCCAAAATTATTTGATGTGAATAAGCAATCAAAAAACCACTTCTCATGAAGTTTGCATGAAAAAGTTTGTAGCAAACGAGAGTTTTATGTGATTTGCTCCGCTACATACACAATCTCACTCTCATTCTCTTCATCTGTCGCTTGGTTCATTTTCAATAAAAACATTTTCTGGTGAGCGTCAATTTTATAAATTTTGATGTAATATGAGCTGAGAGTGTGCATTCCTATCTGACTCGTTCTACACGCGCCGGTCTACGTACCGAAACGCGCATGCACATATCTTTCGTAGTTCGCTACTTGCACGCAACAATCTACACAGCTCTGGCAGAATATTTGCTCTGCAGATTCGCTTGTCACATGACGATAATTTCACAATCGAATCAGTTCGCTTCGCATATATACACACAAGCCTGCCAATACTCACGGATGCACACACATACACACAGTGAATCACTACTGGTGAGCCACAACTAACCTCTCCGGTAGTATAAAGATCATCAACCGTTTCACTGTTTCACTGTTGTCACTGTTCTTGTTGTGGATTATCATGGGTCAGCAGCATTCTGCCGTTTACAAATACGTTTCTCGGTCCATTGACAGACGACTAGCAGCGATGAATATCTCGGTACGTACCATTCCTTGATGCGTAAATATACTTAGGTCAGAAACTCTCTATTCCATCACGAGAGCTGCACTCCATGCGACATCGTTCCTACGAGATTATTGTGGAATATTTGCGAGTCTCGCGGAATCGGCACCAATTAAGACTGTTGCAGAATGGACACGTGAATGAGAACTCGTTCACAGCGGAAGAGATTCGCTCGATTGAACGTATATTGGACACTGTAATGGCTCGATGTGAACAAGAGCACAGACATCAAGTGAGTGAGATGAGTGAAAAACCTGGGCGAAGCGCAATGGCAAGCCTTTGTTTTCGTGGTATCCTAGACAATAGATATTCAAATAATAATTACAGCAAACCCATTCAAAATCGACATCGACTTGGAGTTTTAGAGGCCGAAGAACAAAAATTCTCAGAAATTCAACATAGAATCTTCTTGAATTATTCTCAAAACTCAACCCTTCTTAACAGAAATTCTGGAGGTGCAAATAAGGGTATTACGGTACAACGTATTTTTTATGCACAAAATTCAGTCAAATTCCTTTTGATTTGATACTTAAATCTGTTTTATTTTAATCTTCCACTTTCATTTTTCTTATACAGTTATTTGTGAGCAGTGTTAAGGAACAAGTATTGATCGTTTTTCTTAACCATCCTTTTAACTTCATCCATACGCACTGTCCATCGTTCATCCAATCTGTTGCATATTCAGGGGGCCTCATATTCGGTTTTAGTTCTGGTTAGTGCTCATCAGTGATGCTTATCCAGCGAATTTGTTCTTCAGACCCCTCACACGAAAGACTTGTGTGCGTGTGTGTCACCAGTGGGGTCAACGAGAAGAGACAGAGAACAATCGGTTTTCCCATTCCATACATCTAAGACAGTCGGTCACAGTCGGTCCGATCCCGAAAGGACTGGCAGATAGAGAATACTTCTAAACTTCACCGAAAGTAAAACGCAAGTTTAGTGTTTCCCGGTTTTGTTGTTGGCTGAATAAAGATGTCCGGGAAGGTTTAAATTGTGAGCTGTTTTAGAGGTTTGTTAGAGGCATAACCCTCGGAGAATGGTTCAATTCAAAAGGCCTTAGAACAGTTTTAATCAGAAAAATTTGTACTAAATCATCTTCCAGAAGCCGCGAATTACATTTACTGATCACATGCGGGCTCGGTGAAGACACAACAGATTTCAGTAACGAAAATTGCTTGTGCTCAAATGTTTGATGTGCACTGACAGATTTGATCAGCTAAAATATTCAGCAGTGAAGTTCCTTGGAACAAAATTTATTTTCCTATTTTATTTATTGCTAATTGTATAAATAATTTTTCTAGTATTTTATGAAAACCAAACAGCAAAAAGCGGTGTACTTTTTATTTTTGCTTTTCAACTCAAAAGCAAAGCACCAAAAAATTGACAGTTTGGTATAATGAGTGGCCGTTTTCGGAAAACCAAAGAACAGATCTGAACTGATAATAATCACGGTTCGAGAGCACAAATTCCGCTGACTTTGTTGCTGTATTCTGTGGACCGCACAAATGCATTTCAGCAACCTTTTTCGTCACAAGCCTTGTACCAACTTTGCTGCTGAGCGCGCCACGGACATTCGGCTGAGATCGCTAAACATTATTTTTAAGATAATCTTTCAGAAATATGAAACAGTTGGTGAAGACATTTCATCAATACCGAAACACCTGTTTTTCACAAATTATTTGAATAAAACAACTGAAAAAACATCACAGGAACTTTGCATTCACTCAATCTGTCGTCTAGGCAATTAATCCGTTCGTATTACACAACCGTTTCTATACTTACAGATTTCATTGCGGTTTGCTATAGGTACTCCTTATTAGTTCGTTCAAACCAAAATGACCTTGATAACTACGTTACAGCCAATTATTTTAATTTTCGCTCGTTGTAATTATATAAATATTCATATTTTGGTATTCTTCTTTTAGCTTTTCAGTCTACTTAATTTGCTTTGGCAGCTGATTGAACTCACGCGAATTCGATGGCTAATATCGAATCAGCTCATACTGCGTTACTTAATTTATTCGAATGCACCAGTAATAATTGTATTTCATACCATTATATGATGACCAACAGGATTACTCCTCTTAACCGCAGTGAAATACTGCTCACCCAAGAAAACTGGACATCTCACCCATAGGAATGGGAGTGTTGAGTGACTTAAGTCCCTGTATAGAATTGGTGTGGTACGGAATCGGACAACAACGAGGCTGACTACCAGTAAGGTTAAGAGGCAGTTGTGTAGTTCGAAAGTGGAATCTTAGCATTTAGAGCGTGATTCAAACATCAGTTGAATCCGGAAGTCGCAGGATGAAGAAAGTTGGAAACACAGAACGTCTAAATGAACGTTGATGTGTTTGCACAGTGTTGACCAAGGTTGGGAATATTTATGTAATTAGAATATTATTGATTTAATTCTCGCCCACCTCAGTTGGTTTCAAATAAGTTGACTACGCAAACGAAGCGAACAGCTTTCTGTTTAGGCACTCAAATTTTTAGCCAGTACAAACTTCCGTATTCCACTAGTCGCTCAATTGTTCTGACCTATGTCGTCGTTGTTTTATACAATTACTTACTATCAGTCATGGGGCCCAATTTTTCGGTTAAAATGAGTAATCAATGGGTTCTCGCGACCAAGGGGTTCAAAATACGAATAATATTAGTAATAATTATAATTGTCAAAGCTTGGCCATAACGGTATACTGAAATGAGTCATCCACTTGCACTGTGTCTCCTAACGCTTAATCTCCGCGACTTGTGCCAAGCTTCCCCAGTGACATTTGTATACGTTTTCTCCTCAAAAGGGGTCCGATATGCGTCGACAGAGCCTAACTCAACATAATCAGGTCCGGTTTGGGGCTGCTCAACAGACGTACGAGGAAAACTTGACATACGGACGTACGCGAGCAGTCAGTACCCCCAATTTGTCCTCTACTCCCAGACTCAGAACTGAAGATGGTAAGTCATTCTGGCCTCACATATTCGTTTGATCTTCTCTGAATCGTGTCGAAACTGCTTTTATTTGAATCAAATTTTCAGTCCATGTTATTTCTACCCATTCACCTTTATATGTGTGCCTCAGAGCGGTTGTTCGCAAACCAAAATTTGATAACTTGTCCCCTGACGAGGGATGGCGTTGTACGAGTATATGGTAAGTTTGTTGCATAAACATCAACCCCGGATTAAATCCCAGGTAATGGCCTCAGTGGCAGACAAGATGGGTGCTTCGAGATGAATGCTTCTTTTCTATTCGTCAATCATAATGCTTCCTGATTTGCAAAAGCCATCACAAGAACAAAAGAAATNNNAAGAAATAAAAATTTGGTGCCAAACACTAGAATTCGGTTACAGAGCCTGATACAATTCAAGACCATACGGCTTGATTGCGACTGGAACCCAAAAAATCAATTATGATACTTCAACAAACCTTTGTTTTATCGCATAACTGATTGCATAAACGATAGTCAGGAAGGAATACGTGACCAACTAAATGCCCACCTCATGGTACAAGCGAGGAAAACATTTTCTTGGATGGTAGTGGTGGAGCTGATGTGATAACTAAAGCTCAACCTCCCGGAGGATAAGTTGACTACTCCTACTGCTGGACCAATGCCACTTAAGGGCTTCATGGAGCATATTACCTCGAAACCCGATTAATATATCTAACAGACTTTGAGAATCTGCCCGCAAGTGACTGCTTTCACTTAGAAGAATCAATTTATGAAATTGAAACAATTTTCCACCTTGCGTAAATATAGTTAAAACGGGTTGATCCACGGGCATCGAGATAATTATTTGATTGCTTGAGTTCTTTTCAAAGAAACTACTCCTAGTTAGGAATATCATGTGGCTGACAACACACCTGTTTCGAGTACTTCATTCATCGGATGATAAATCGAAATTCATATAAGTATTTTAGGGTATCAGTCAGAAGCCATTCTTGATGGTCTTTAGGGTGGGTTTCACTTCTTGAGCGGCCGTTAAGTTACCACTACTATGATGCATTGAAATGTGATAACTGTCAAAGAGCACTAGACAACTGTCTCGTCCTGCTTGAGACTTGTCAGCAGTGCGTATTTTTTGTGTCGCGGTCAGGAATCAAATCGCAAGCCTTCGGTTGCAACTTAAAACCCTTGCCCCCGAGCAAAACGATCCGCGATCATCATCTTGTACAAACGGCTCAATCAATTTTAAGGTATGAAGGTTAGATTAGCCTATTCGATTGTTTAGAGGTACCAAGTTCGAGTCCTGACAGGGACACAAAACGTACGCACTGCTGACGAGTCCCGGACAGGACCAGACTGATATCCAGTGCTGTTTTTGATTATCGCAAACATTTCCATCATGTTTCACTTGGTATAAGTGTGTTCATGTTGTGACAGATTGAGAAATTCAGATCCGTTACCCTATGGTCCTGGAAGACGGGTCACTGCGTATTGGGAGGGGGCAGGGGTCGAGGGAGATTTGCGCAACAGCAGTGCAGAAACACACCGTTCCTTGAACTAACAACGCACAGAATAAGTTGAAGAACAGAAGTATTACCATTTCTAATCAAGACCCTAAATAAATCGCACGTGTAATGATCAGAGGTCGAGGAAAATGTCATTATGAAATTGCTCTGTTTACTTAGTCTTAGTCTGTATCTTAGTCTGTATTCAATCCTCGCCCTGTAAAAGATTACATTGTACTTTTGCATTGATTACGCGCTGATCGTTCACCAAAAACAGGTTTGCTATATACTGTGAGACAAAGGTATATTTGGAAGGTATTCTCATATTGAAAACAAGATTTGTGCATAGTACTCGACCGTGTGAATACGCTTAATGCTAGATTAATTTTAAACAGCATACGTTGTGTGTTTAATTTTCTTCCACGACTTCCCACTAATGAAACCACGTACGATCACAACTGAACGACACACTACATAGCTAAAAGATTGCTGGGTTACGCACGCATCAATCTTGTGCTTTGAGGTACTCAACCAACGAGGCAGTCTACTCCTTCAGTCTTCAGCATTGAGGTAAGGGTGGTAGGGTGCCCGTGTAAGCCCCATCACCACTGGGTTGAACGTCCGATCACAAGTGTTCGTTCCTCCATAGCCCCTTCAGGTGCTCATCCAGACGCCGTTTGAAAGCACCGTATGTTTCCTCTTCCACCACAATCGCTGGAAAGGAATTCCAGAGTGTTGTTGACCTACGCGAGAGTCGGTAGACTAACGGAAGACCAACTGACTGAATTTTCCGCAACGTGAGAAAATGCCCCCGCGTGCAGTGCTCTGTCCGTAAAGGGAAGTAATGTTGCAGCTCCGAGCCCATGGCACCTCTCAGGATCTTCCTCAGGCAGATGAGATCTCCCCTGAGGCGTCGATACGCAATGCAAAACAGACCAGTAGCCTGTAGATGACCTTTATAGCTGGTCCCGCTTAGTCCAACAACGAGTCTAGTGGCAACACGTTGTACACGCTCCAACTTAGCCAGTTCACCGGCCGGGCAGGGGTATGTCGACGCACCACTGTACTCAAGTCTTGGTCTGACATGGGAAGCGTAAAGCAGCCTGAAAGCGTCCATCGTGAGCTGGTTGAAAGACCGCCGAATAGGCCCCAGAATGCTCCATGCGCTAGCACAGACCCGATCGGTGTTTTCTCAGGTCTTTAGTGATGATGTAACCATAACACCCAGGTCTCTTCCGCACGATGTTCTGCGCAATGTGGTCCTCTGGAATTTGTAGATTACCTCTGAGTCAGCATGCCCCAAATGCAGGTGAGCACACTTTGCTGTGTTGACTGGAACAGCCCAGGGGTCCGTCCACTGAGCCAGGTTGTTCAAATCCGCTTGAAGAGAACTTCGATCATTCGGATCCTTGATTGTACGCCAGATTTTGATGTCATCCGCAAACATGAGTAATGGGCTGCACAGCTGACCGGGCAGGTCGTTCACATATACCACAAAGAGCAATGGACCAAGAACCCAGCCTTGGGGGACCCCACTGGGAGCGGAATACCACGCATAGAGCGATTCTAAATTCTTACTTTTAATTGTTTTGTTTTGATGAAACAAAACACTAACTAAATATTAGTCAATGATCTCTGACGAATTACCTTATAGAATCTAAAGAGATAAAGAGCGGTCATCTGATAAGCCTTTAGGTGCAACCCTGGGGGGGGGATTTTCAAGTGAATCTGTATTACACTTTGGATAATCGGACACTGGGACTAGGTAGGAGCGATATTGCCTGTCCTTAATTGAAAATTTGCATTCATTATACGCACTGAATAGCTTTGGATATTTTTGATTACAAATTATTTTCAAGCTGTTTAAGTTACGGATGGAAAAAAGGCATAATAAAGATTGCAGCATCATAGTTTCCTTTCTCATTGTCAATCGATACAATTGATTATTCACAAGCAACGCTTTTGAGATTGATAGACAAAACAGTCGAATAATACACACATTCTCAACAGGTGATTAGAAAAATACTAAATTTCGCCTACGCTGAATCTTTCGATGAGAATTTCAGTATTTGATGTATTTGATGTCAATCACGACAAAACGAGAACCATGCTTGTGTGAGGTTAGCTCAAAGGTTTCTTTAAAGATGCGTATTCACATATACAGAATTACTGTTACGTGGAAAACTACGAGATCCTCTATCAATATCATAATACACCTAAGTGTTTTGACCGTCGGCTGTTTATCTCAAGAGGGTTGGTTTCAACTCCTTACCGGAAGGTTCGAGTTCTGAGTCCAGGAAGGAACAAAAGTCTAGTGAGTACCGCTTGTGACCTCAACTTAGTGGCTGACAAAGCTGTTTAAAAAATGACATGTTTCGAAAAACCACTTTCCCATTTAAAATACAGTTACTTATGAGTAGTGGTGCTGGATAAATGACATTGATTTAGACTGACAATCCTTCCAAATTTCATCTTCATCCTCATTTGATCCGTTCAACCACACACACAAGTTAATTTGCATTAGAGGTGGTTAGTAGTGTATATTCAACGAATCACTCGCTATTTGAACTGCAGACCACTGTGCTAACTATCTCACACCGGGGTTGACCACAAATTTCAATTAGACTATGTTCAAATGACGTCTTCAGTGATAGTCAGTCAATTCATTGGACTTGGCAGCAGCGAAAGGAGTCACGGAAGAGCATGTGTTAAATTCATTCGGGTACAATAAACTTTTCATTAAAGATTTTGATTAAAGATGACACCCGCGAACTGGGACTTCTAGTCAGTCACGTTGTGAGATGGTCGACACAGGGGCCGGAGTTCTAGTTTCTGGCGGATCGTTGGATATGTTCAGCTGATGAGATCGAATGAGAGCAAAACTCGTGTCTCATGAGTATATGGTGGTTGTGTCAGCTGATGAGTGTGTGAGGATGACGTCTGAAGCAAAAATCACTTTCAGCATGCTGTCTGTTAGTTCCAATGCTTGCTATTTGTCGAATTATGAAACACTTGTGTGCAAGTATCTGCTTTGAAATGTGACGAGATTGTGATCTTGTGATCGAATAAAGCTACAAGTTATTTTGCCTGCAGTAATTGTGATCCAGAAGGATTTCGTGTACATTCTCTTTCTTCTTGTGCATTCTCCAACGTGTCACTAGCAAAGTTAGTGCTTCATTAGTCTAAGTATTGCAATGTTTAACACCATCCGAGTGAAGCCATCAGGCGTTGAATGCAAAAAATTGCACAATTCCAATTGACACTGTGGCTGAACTTTTCTACACTTTCAGATTCGACGAAGTTTGTGTATATTTTGGGAAATAAAGAAAGAGTTTTCTGGGGACTGGTTGTGCGTGCGGATAAAAGCGTGTGAATTATCTTGGTATTTTCATCCCGGAGACATCTTAAACGTGTATACATAGACTCCGTTCCAGAAATGAGACAGGTAAACATATGTGAAAAAGTAATCATGCACTTTCGAAACAAAAATACAGGATCTTTTGACGTACGAGAGTGGGTTCCAGCACATTCAACAATCTTGTCACTTGTGAGCAAAGTCAAGTTATCTTATACCAGGTAATAAAAATCAGCTGTTACAATATGAGTTCTGTTCGAGGATTCTGTCTCATCCATTTCAAGTTTGTTAAGGAAACAAACTAAAAGCATCATAAAACAATTTATCTGAATAAATACCAGTGGTGGTACCGCAGGCTTAAATGGAGCTCAGTTTCTTGCAGGAAAACCGGTATATTGTTATTCTATATGAAACCTAAAATAGTAAAAAAGGATTTTAAGCAATCGTTAAGAACCTGGCTTTCTATGGATTTCACCAACGTGTAGTTTATTCTTCCATCAATTTAAAACTATTCAACTTGATAAAATTCTAAAATTGTACAAAATTCTGCAATTCAGTTATCCATCAGTAGTACATAAGGATGATGCAACTAAGGCGGAATCGAATAAAGGAAAGCGAGGCGAAATGAACCGTTGTTTGCCGTCAAGTAAATTGTTTTATTCCAGGCTGTTTAGAAGTGTGCAGTGGAATTTAAAGTAGATTACCATTGAGGACAGGCATTTTTTAAATTGCAACTTAAACCACTGAGTCAGGAGCATCAACTGAATTCATTCGTATACGCTCACAAGTAATAAAATTGGATAGTGCAGAATTTATTGACTATCACGGTATGAGCAAGACACTCAGAGAGAAAAGCAGCGATTGACTTCCATGTTAATGTACTGTTTATCCAAAACGGGAGAAACGACAGGTTACTCTGATCGGTAAGGCTAGAAATTCTAATATCGTATTCTCAACATTATTATTATGCCTAACGAATAAGTTCCTATACGAATGCAAGTTGAGTAAGTTAACCAACCCATTGCACGTTCTCACACGTACGCGCACGTTCCCGGTTAGATGAGACGACGACAATCGACAAGTCAGCTGACGTTAGTCGTGCATTGTGTTTATTCTGCCCTGAGTGGACACGTGATGATTCGTCCTTTTATTGCCTACGACATCCATTTTTCGCTTCTTCTTGATTCATTCCACGTGTATTGATTTGTAAACCTCTCTCTGACTCTTCCACTAAAAATTGAATAAACTCAGCTTGAAACCTATCCAGAATTCATTTTTGAACGCGTTCATCTGGTTGTGAATGACAGAATGAGGGAAACGGTTGCAAAAGTGCAATATTCACGTTTCATTCCTACCACACTCTAATGTGTGCGTTGCGCTATGTGATAAACTGCCCGCTTTTTCCGATAGCGTTCTGATCCATTTCGCATGCGTGTTATTTTCCCCGTCTGTGCCTTGTACCAGAAAATGACTTGTCCGAACTGTCTTCATGGGCTGTGGTAACCAAATTGGCCTCGTCAGAAGCGGACAAATACTCGGAATGCATTATTTGCCTGGTCCCATTCAAGACCGCGGACCGGGTGCTGACACTGCCCTGTTTCCATCTGTTCCACTTAGACTGTGTATTGACCTGGCTTAAAAAAGTAAGTTGGACCTTTTTCGGTTCAAACAAAATCCGATGTCTCCTACTTGGTTTATTCAAGGGGTGTTTTCTAATTTGAGAATAAATGGCATCTCAGTTGAAAATAACAACTATGTACACTGCAAATTAACTTGAAGTTTAGAGATTATTGATTGTAAAGCCAAAGAATGATTTTTTCAGGAGAAAGGAAACACATCGCTGATAGTGAGACGGACGAGGATGAAGGGGGCGACTGTACCCTTAATTCCTATCCTCATTTTCCTCTTTTCCATCGACGATGAATTTATTCGGAGCTACCTAAATACCAGAATTGAAGCATGATGATCATTTAAGTAGGCAAATACAGCAACTAACTAAGTGTGCACGCTTACCTGTTTACGATGACACTCACAGAACGAGCCATCCGTCCCCAATAATCAACAGCTGGCAAGGATAATTTTGGGGTTAATTTATTTCGGTAGTTCACCGAAAAAAATATTCAGTTTGCTTCACAACTCATCCAAACCAGAGTTCAAAGGGGTGACGAACCCATGATCATAAGCCTTGCAATGCTCTGTGGAGCTTACAAAGTGGTTCTTCCTATTACTTTGTTTTCACTGTGGCAACGGGCATTTTTACTCACTTTCTAAAACTTTCCCTTGGATCGAGTGTAATCCGTATGAGAAGTTTAGATCTTCTTTTACTATCCTGGAATAAAGAAGAATACAAGAAAAAGTCTTAGCGTTCAGTAATATCAGCAATATGGTTACTAATAAAATAACCCTTAGTATGGAGGTATCGATGGAC